CCCAGGCTAGAGTGAGTGCTGTGGTGTCAGCCTAGCTCACAGCAACCTCAAACTCCTGGGCTCAAGCGATCCTCCTGCCTCAGCCTCCTGAGTAGCTGGAACTACAGGCATGCGCCACCATGCCCGGCTAATTTTTTTCTATATATTTTTAGTTGGCCAATTAATTTCTTTCCATTTAGGACTACAGGCGTGAGCCACCGCGCCCAGCCATATTCATTTATTTCTTAGAGACAGGGAGTGCAGTGGCGTGATCACAGCTCCCTGTGACCTTGTGTCACTGGGCTCCAGTGATCCTCCCACCTCAGCCTCCCCAGTTGCTGGGATGACAGGTGTTCACCACCATGCCTGGCTATTTTGTAGAGTTGGGGGCTTGCTATGTTGCCCAGGCTGGTCTGGAACTCCTGGCCTCAAGGGATTCTCCCGCCTTGGCTTCCCAGAATTACAGGTGGGATTACAGGTGGGAGCCACCGTGCCCGGCCCAAACGTCCCCTTTTTGTAAGGGGACCCATCATATCGGATTAGGGTCCACCCAGGGGCCTCCTCTTAACCTAACTGAATGCATCTGCAATGACCCACTTCCAAACGAGGCCACGTTCTCAAGGACTGAGGGTGAGGAGTCCAACGTGCGAACTTGGGGCGCTATTTGGTCCACAGCAAATGGCGATCGGATGGATGAGCACAGGATTATAGCTGTGCAAGAATATTCTTCCAAAAATAAATTTCTAATCAACTTTGTTGAGTACAATTTACATACAACAAACTGTTCCTGTTTAAGGGGTGTAATTCGATGAGTTCCCAGACATGTGGCACTACGAGCAGCGTTGAGACGGGGTCTGGTCCTGTCTGGGTCCGGCCACCCCAGGCTCCCCACCCAGCCTCTGCTCCCCACCCAGCCCGGGCGATCGGGGGCCGCCGTGGCCTCCAGGTCAGGCTGTTCCCTGGAGTTCCACCCAGAGGGGACCAGACGCGCTCCTCGTTTTGTCCGGACCTGTCCCCTCGAGTTCGTCTTTCACCCGCTGACGAACATCTGCGTGATCCCCAAAATCCGACCTTTTCGAATGACGCTGCGTGAGCATTTGCGTGGGGGTCTCTGTGTGGACGTATGTTTTCCTCTCCTGGGCAGGTACCCGGCTCTGGAAGTTCAGGTCGTGCGGTGCCTGTCTTGAAGACTCTGCCAAACCGTTTTCCAGCGTGGAAGACGCCAGCGCCGTCCCACCCGCAGCGTGTGAGGTTCCGGTTGCTCTGGCCTCGCCGCCGGCACCGCTGTGGCTGCCCTTCTCACGTGGCCTTTCTCGTGGGCGGGCAGCGGTGTCTCCTCGCGGCTTTCCTTTGCTGACCCTGAGCAGCCGACCCTGGTTAGCCACGGAGGTGCTGTGATGTGTCTGCTCAACATGTTTGCCCATTAAAAAAAAATCTCACCAAAACAGTTAAGAAGAGCAGTTTTTATTTATTTATTTATTTTTTGAGACAGAGTCTCCATTTATTGCCCTGGCTAGAGTGAGTGCCGTGGCGTCAGCCTAGCTCAGCACGCAACGCTCAAACTCCCACTGGGCCCTCAAAGCAATCCTCCTGCCTCAGCCTCCCCAGTAGCTGGGACTACAGGCATGTGCCACCACCGCCCGGCTAAGTTTTCCTATATATATTAGTTGGGCCAATTAATTTATTTCGACTTTTATTTTTTTTTTATTTATTTTTTTCTGGTGAAACCTTCAGTCCAGTATTTCGACTTTTAGTAGAAGACGGGTCTCACTCTTGCTCAGGCTGGTTTCGAACTCCTGACCTTGAGGAATCCACCCGCCTCGGCCTCCCAGAGTGCTAGGATTACAGGCGTGAGCCACCGCGCCCGGCCAAGAGCAGTTTTTAGAGCGAAGTTAAACTCGGTCGGTGGCCGTCTGTCTTCTCTCGGGAGCCCTCCCGGCCGTGCGACCGGGTTCAGACGGTTCGGCTCTAAAGCTCGACCACTTCAAAGTGCTCGTTTGTCTGTTAGATCACTGGTCCCCAACATTCTTGGCACCAGGGGCCGGTTTCATGGGGTGGGGACACGGGCGGTGGGGGGGTGACGCGTGGCTGGGTTTCCCTAACAGGCCACGGATCGGTGCCGGCGCCCCGGGGTTGGGGACCGCGGTGTTGTGTCACAGTTTAAGCAAAATTATAAATGAAATGCTTAAATGCAGCCTAACCGAACCCCAGAACCTTTAAGGCGGGGGTAGAAGGGTGAGACGAGGTCTGGATGTGGGGAACAGTTTGCGCCCGGCTCCCGCCGCACAGACTGAGGGTGTTTGGATACGGCAGACACAAGGTCCGAATCACACCCAGGATTTCGCATTTTTATTAGAACAAATGGCCTTCCTGGTGGAGCTCCTTAGGGGCGAAGAGACGAAGTAACCCCATCCTGGCTCCCCACATGAAGGCTTTGAACACACAGTGCAGCAAATGAAATATATTCGTACCGTGTTTCCCCGAAAATAAGACGGGGTCTTATATTTATTTTTCCTCAAGAAGACACCCTAGGGCTTATTTTCAGGGGATATCTTATTTTTTTTAAGTACGGTACAACCATCTACATTGATTCAAATAGAGTGAAGTCGTCTTCTTCTGGAACAACCCCCCCAGTCCACCAAAACACTCTCTGAACGCCCGAATTCGCATCCTGAAGTCTTGCGACTCTAGTTGGTCTTTAGGAAGCATCAGGCGCCCGATCTCTCCTGTCGAGCACTAGAGCTCTCACGGGGCAGATGAGAAGGGCTGCATGTGGTCTTTCCCGCTGCAGGACGAAATGCATGGGCTGTGCAGATGCGCTGCATAGCCACGCCCGTCACTAGGGCTTATTTTCAGGGTAGGCGGCTTCTATTGCGCAAATGCTTAGAAATCCTGCTGGGGCTTGTTTTATGGGTAGGGCTTATTTTCGGGGGAACACGGTGGCAGCCTTCAGATTTCATGGTTCCCGTGTGTCCTCAGATGTGGTAGTTTATTTGGACTTTGCCCAGGAAGCATTAGGAGCTGCGTGGAAGAGCTGGCGTGAGTAGTAAGTGTGCGTCTTCGATAGAGCAGCCTCTGTGCGTTTTTTTTTTTTGGTTTTTTTTTGAGACAGAGTCTCGCTTTGTTGCCCAGGCTAGAGTGAGTGCCGTGGCGTCAGCCTAGCTCACAGCAACCCTCAAACTCCTGGGCTCAAGCAATCCTCCTGCCTCAGCCTCCCGAGTAGCTGGGACTACAGGCATGCGCCACCATGCCCAGCTAATTTTTTATATATGTATTTTTAGCTGTCCAATTAATTTCTTTCTATGTATAGTACAGACGGGGTCTCGCTCTTGCTCAGGCTGGTTTTGAACTCCTGACCTCGAGCAATCCGCCCGCCTCGGCCTCCCAGAGTGCTAGGATTACAGGCGTGAGCCACCGCTCCTGGCCTGTGCATAACTTTTAAAATAAGCTGCGTGATTGATATCCCTGCCCCTTCGGTGCTGGTGGGAGAAAGCTCTCGGGAGGCACACGGTTGCTTGCACGGAAACTCCAGTGATGCGACCGCCTGGGGCTGGTTTGATAGGCGGCTTTTCCTCTTCCCTTCCCCGTCATCTGACATGACGCCCCACCCGGACGGGAGGGGCTGGGGCAGATGTTGGGGCCTGGGGCCTGCGGCTGGTTAATCCCGTTGGCCACAGGGCAGCGCAGCCTGGACCGCGGGGCCGAGCAGGGCTGGCCGAGGGTGCCCTGTCCATCTGCGAGGGCCACCTGGGCTCGGAGCCACCGGAACCCGGGCTCCAGGTGCACTAGCTTTTTTGTTTTGGTTTCTTTGAGACAGGATCTCGCTGTCTCAGACGTAGACGTCACTGGTTACGATGAGGTCACTGGGGTGGCGCTGACCCCGCCGTGACTGCCGTCCTCGTACGCGGGAAGTCTGGACGCGGGCGCAGGCGGGAAGATGCGCGGTGAAGATGGAGGTGGAGATCGGGGCCACACCTCTGCGCGGTGCCAAGGGCGACAGCGGCCCCCGGAAGCCGGCGAGGGCCGGGGACAGAGCCTGCCGGGCCCTCTGCCGCCCCAGTCTCGGGCCTCTGGCTTCCAGACCGCGAGGGAATACACTCCTGTCGTTTGAGCCGCAGAGTCTGTGGCGCTTTGCTGGGGCAGCCTCGGGAAGCGGCAGCGAGCGTAGAAAATGAGACGCGATGTCGGGAGCACTGAGTCGAGGGAGAGTCCGCCAGGGCGGGCGCGAGTTCAGGTCTCCCCGGTTCTGCGCCGTGGGCTGTCCCGGGGCTGGGGGCATCGCCGGGGCTTCTCTCTGCTCATGTCCCCCGACAGCCAACAGCGAGCCCTCTCGGGGCTGAGCTGGTCTCGCGCCCCCCGGCTGGGCAGGGACCCTGCAGATTCGATCCGGTTTGAGCTCAGATGTTTTGGACGTTTTAGGGGGGAGGCTGTGAACGTACGCACCACATCCTATTGCTCCTGTGGGTTTTTGTGTGTGGAGTTACACAAACACACACTTTACAGGGTGTTTCCCCTAGTGTGAAGGGTGCAGCCCCCGACTTGTGCTGTTTCACTGAGACTTCCAGTCTGGGAAGGAAGGAAGCCACTTCCACCCTGGCGTGTGTGTTCATTGCTCTGGGACGTGCCGGCGGCCGGTGTGCTGGAATCTGCTGGGAACCTGGAGTCCGTTTATGGGCCTGTTTGGGGGAACAAGCAGGGGAACTTGCTTCTGGTTTTCCTCCTCAGGGCCGTACTCCCGCTCCCTCCCGGCACTGCGCTGCGGCAGGAGAAACCACAGGCACTGCACCTGTGCACACCTGGGCACACCTGTGCACACCTGGGCACACCTGTGCACACCTGGGCACACCTGTGCACACCTGGGCACACCTGCGGCCAGGCCCTGCGGGTGGGTGGGCTCCTGCGGCATCGGTGCCCACCCGCCCCGCGTTGGCATATGGGTGGGGCACAGGCCCTGCTCCCGCGCCGCCGGGCCTCACCTGCCGTGCCGAGCTGTGGGTAACTCTCGCCTTCTCGCCCCGCAGGGTCTGTAGAAGAGGCGGCGCCCGGGCTCCCCGATGAACAACCGGAAGGAAGATATGGAAATCGCGTCCCACTACCGGCACCTGCTGCGCGAGCTGGACGAGCAGAGGCAGCACGGCGTGCTGTGTGACGCCTGCGTGGTCGTGGAGGGCAAGGTCTTCAAGGCGCACAAGAACGTGCTGCTGGGGAGCAGCCGCTACTTCAAGACGCTGTACTGCCAGGTGCAGAAGACCTCGGACCAGGCCACCGTCACGCACCTGGACATCGTCACGGCGCAGGGCTTCAAGGCCATCATCGACTTCATGTACTCGGCCCACCTGGCGCTCACCAGCAGGAACGTCATCGAGGTGATGTCGGCCGCCAGCTTCCTGCAGATGACGGACATCGTGCAGGCCTGCCACGACTTCATCAAGGCCGCGCTGGACATCAGCATCAAGTCGGACGCCTCCGAGGAGCTGGCCGAGTTCGAGGTGGGCGCGGCGGCCGGCGGCAGCACGGAGGCGCTCATCTCCGCGGTGATGGCGGGCAGGAGCATCTCGCCCTGGCTGGCGCGGCGCACCAGCCCCGCCAACTCCTCCGGGGACTCGGCCATCGCCAGCTGCCACGAGGGCGGGAGCAGCTACGGCAAGGAGGACCAGGAGCCCAAGGCCGAGGGCCCCGAGGACGCGGCCTCGCAGCCGCTGTGGCCCGGCGACCTGGGCTACGGGCCCCTGCGCATCAAGGAAGAGCAGGTCTCGCCGGCGCCGTACGGGGGCGGCGAGCTCCCGCCCGCCAAGGACGGGGCCGCGCAGAACTCCTTCTCGGAGCAGGGTGCCGGGGACGGCTGGCAGCCCACGGGCCGCAGGAAGAACCGGAAAAACAAGGAGACGGTGCGGCACATCACACAGCAGGTGGAGGCCGACAGCCGGGCCAGCTCCCCGGGCTGCGCCTTTCTCCCCGCATCCGGGTGGCCCTTCGGCGGGCGAGACTCAAGTAAGCCCTCTGTCTGTTGCGGGCGGGGTCGGCCGCCCCCGGGCACGTGTGCCCGCGGCCTCGTGGTTGTCCGTGTTGTGCATGGAGCGGTGCCTGTCCAGGCCCTCGCTGGTGGCCCCCTGGGTCCCCTCCTTGGGCAGGAAAGCGGTGAGCCCCCAGGGAGTGTGGCCAGCGCGTCCCCCAGGCCTGGGTGGCTCCAGGGCCCGGAGGAGCCCCACGTGCCTGCCCCCGTCAGCACAGCACTGGCACCTCCCACACGCGGGGCCTCCCAAGGGCTCCCGTGAGGCCGAGGGGACGGGGCTGGGTGACCTCTGGGGGGGCCGCCTCGCCCCTGGTCGGGCTGAGGTCTGGCTCACGGGGGCGGCTCCCCTGCGTGTGGGGGCTCCCCGAGAGCCCGGCTGGATGACTGACCCGGCCGGTCACAGGGCGGCCTCAGCTTCGGGCCCCACCCCTCAGGTTTGCTGGGCCGCTGCTGCCCTGCGAGTCGAGCAGAGAGTCACGTGAATGTGTTTGTCCTTGGAACCTCGGCTTGCGGTGACCTGGGCGACCCTTCGCGGACCTGGAGGGTAGACGGGGTGTGGGGGTGGACGTGGCTGTCGGAGGAAGCTGCGCCGCAGAGCAGCCTCTCAGGGCGGGGGATGTACACGTGGCATTCGCTGATAAGTGCAGGTTCATCTGGGAGGCCGAGGCGGGAGGATCGCTCGAGCTCAGGAGTTGGAGACCAGCCTGAGCAAGAGCAAGACCCGTCTCTACAAAAAATAGAAGGAAATTAATTGGCCAACTAGAAATATATGGAAAAATTAGTGGGGTGTGGTGGTGCAGGCCTGTAGTCCCAGCTACTCGGGAGGCTGAGGCAGGAGGATCGCTCGAGCCCAGGAGTTTGAGGTTGCTATGAGCGAGGCTGACGCCAGGGCACTTACTCTAGCCTGGGCAACAGAGTGAGACTCTGTCTCACAAAAAAAAAAAAAAAAGTGCAGGTTCGAATGAAAAGGCGGGAGTTTTTCCCCTTGCCCCAAACGTGGCTGTGTAGCCTGGGGTCTCTTCCCGGGACCCACGTAGATTCACGGTGTCAGTTTCCAGGGGCTCTGAGCTCAGCTTTGCCGCAGCCATTCCTCGCAAACCTGAGTGACGGTTTTATGCCGTCCTCCCAGACTAGCAAATCGTGACTCAAAGGTTTGCTGAGTCCCAGGTGCTGTTTCTGTGCCCAGCGGGTGACAATGGCCGCAGCTTGCGCCGAGCCCGTCCCGGCCGCAGCGGGCAGGGGACAGGCTCACGTCTCCCCCTGCCGGCGGCACGGGGAGGACTTGCTCCCAGACGCCAGGCCCTGCCCCAGGTCCGGGAAGGTGCTGTGGAGTCCTGGCTGCTGGGGGACGGAGGCGGCAGTGAGCTGTGATGGTCCTTACAGCGAGGAGTGACGGCGTTTGCTGTCACTGAGTTGTGGGCACGCATGGCTGGCGTGGGGAAGGTCATGTCCGGCAATTTCACCACAGTCACGAAAGCTGCGGCACACTGGGCCGGGCCCGCTGTCTGGCATGGGGGGGGCTCCTGCGGGCTCCTTTCTGCCCCACCCCAGCCTGAGGAGCCCCCTGGTCCCAGGACTGCAGGGCCGTAAATCGCCTGGGGGTGACGTGCTGGAGGCCTTTGTGAGAGCCGGTCGAGGTGTGTGTTCTTTTGTGGTTTTCTCCGGTCAGAGTCTCGCTCTGTCACCCAGGCTAGAGTGAGTGCCGTGGCGCCAGCCTCGCTCACAGCAACCTCAGACTCCTGGGCTCAAGCGATCCTCCTGCCTCAGCCTCCCGAGTAGCTGGGACTACAGGCCTGTGCCACCATGCCCGGCTCATTTTTCCTATATATTTTTAGTTGGGCAATTAACTTCTTTCTTTTTTTTTTTTTTTTTTTTTTTTTAGTAGAGATGGGGGTCTCGCTCTTGCTCAGGCCGGTCTCAAACTCCTGACCTTGAGTGATCCTCCCGCCTCGGCCTCCCAGAGCGGTCGGGGTTTTAAGACACGGTGCGATCCTTTAGCCTGTGGGTTGGGCGCCTTAAATGCACTTGTGGAGCAGAAGGTGTTTTTAGAATCCAACAAGTGATCTCGGCTGCGTACTTTTGTCAGAGTGGTAAATCCCTTGGGTTGCCAAGGCAACCGTGCAACGCTTCCGTCATCTGAGTCTGAGTTGCTAAGACGGACAGGCGGCCGTGGGCTTGTGCGTGGGACGATGCTGCCCGTGTTGCCGTGGCCGCCGGTTACTCCCCGAGCCTCAAGCCTCCGTCCTCCTCCCCGGCCCTGGGGCAGGGGTTTGGAAGCCTAAATCCTGATCTCCGATGGAGGTCAGTTTGTTGGGGTGTTTTGTTTTTTTGAGACAGAGTCTCGCTCTGTTGCCCGGGCTAGAGTGCCGTGGCGTCAGCCTAGCTCACGGCAACCTCCAACTCCTGGGCTCAAGTGATCCTCCTGCCTCAGCCTCCTGAGTAGCTGGGACTACAGGCGTGTGCCACCATGCCCGGCTAATTTTTCTACATATTTTTGGTTGGCCGATTAGTTTCTTTCTATTTTTTTTAGTAGAGACGGGGTCTCGCTCTCGCTCAGGCTGGTCTTGAACACCTGACCTTGAGCGATCCACCTGCCTCGGCCTCCCAGAGTGCTAGGATTACAGGCTTGAGCCACCTCGCCCGGCTGAATTCAGTTTGTTTTCGTTAAAGATTTATTACATCTTAGAGAAGAGTATTTTTTATTCTCATTCCATTTAGAGGAGAAAAGGCCTTTTCTAAAGAAGAGTATCAGTGGGCACTGCAGCTCGCTGGGGCCTCCTCCTCGGGCCCTGGGGGCCCTGGGCCCTGTTAGCTTTTCAGAGTGATTTTCCAAGCAGAAGCCCAGATGCATTCTAACCCGGCAGCTTCCAAGAGACAGGGTGCATTGACATGTGCTCGTGGGGTTCAGCGCTCACTGGTGCCGATTGGCAGGCCCCTGGCCAGGCCCACGCTGACACCCCCTTGGCCTCCCTGACTGCGGGGGAGCCCGATGAGGGTCTGACAAAGTGCATTCGAAGTTTCTAGCCCAGGCCGGGCGCGGTGGCTCATGCCTGTAATCCTAGCACTCTGGGAGGCCGAGGCGGGAGGATCGCTCAAGTTCAGGAGTTCAAAACCAGCCTGAGCAAGAGCGAGGCCCCGTCTCTACTAAAAAAATAGAAATTAATTGGCCAACTAAAAATATATAGTAAAAAATTAGCGGGGCATGGTGGTATATGCCTGTAGTTCCAGCTACTCCGGAGGCTGAGGCAGGAGGATCGCTTGAGCCCAGAGGTTTAAGTTGCTGTGAGCTAGGCTGACACCACGGCACTCTAGCCTGGGCAACAGAGTGAGAGTCTGTCTCAAAAAAAATAAATAAATAAAAAAGAATAATTTTTAAGTGCTCATTTGAAAACTCTTATGCCACCACTTCTTGCAAACTTTTAAAAACTGAAGTATGAGGTGCACACGGGAGGAGCACAGAAGCCCCACTGCTGGCTGGCCGGACCCTGCAGTGTGAGTCTTTCAGTGCTCACGGTGGGGTGTTTCGGGCAGGGGCCTCGGGGTGCTCTGGGTCACGAGCTGTACTGGTCCCCTGTTGCTGCTGTCATATGATGGTAATTTATTATTATTTTTTTTTGAGACATAGTCTCGCTTGTGCCCAGTAGAGTGATGCCGGCGTCAGCCTAGCTCACAGCAACCTCAGACTCCTGGGCTCAAGCGATCCTCCTGCCTCAGCCTCCCGAGTAGCTGGGCACTACAGGCATGCACCCACCATGCCGGCTAATTTTATTATATATATATATTGCTGCCAATTAATTTCTTTCTATTTATAGTAGAGACGGGGTCTTGCTCTTGCTCAGGCTGGTTTCGAACTCCTGACCTCAAGCAATCCGCCTGCCTCGGCCTCCCAGAGTGCTAGGATTACAGGCGTGAGCCACTGCGCCCGGCCGATGGTGATTATTATTATGTAGACTTCGTGTGACTTGAAGTGACGCAGGCTTTATCTCAGGCTTCTCGGATGTCTCACGGGCTGGCAGGGCTGTGGCTTGTCCCTCTGGGCTCCGGGGGACCCTTGTGCCTGCCCTTCCCGCCTCTGGAAACCCGCTCCCCGCCCTCCTGCCCTCTACCGCAGGGTCCTCTGACTGTCCTGCCTCCCCTGCCTTCCAGCACCTGGCGAGTCCGTGCAGGGCCCCCCAGATAATAGCCCGGGCCAGTCTCCCCGACTCCAGATCCACAACTGGGTCGAGTCTGCAGAGTCTTGTTTGCCGTGGAAGGTGACGTAGCCACACGCCCCGGGGATCAGAACGTGGGTGTCTTTGTGGGGACATTGTCAGCCTGCCACACGAGCGCGCATGGGGTAGCGAGACGTTCTGGGGGAGATTTGCCATCCCTATTTTCTTTTTTTTCTTTTTTGCAACAGAGTCTTGCTTTGTTTCCCAGGCTAGAGTGAGTGCCGTGGCGTCAGCCTCACTCACAGCAACCTCAAACTCCTGGGCTTAAGCAATCCTCCTGCCTCAGCCTCCTGAGTAGCTGGGACTACAGGCACGTGCCAACATGCCCGGCTAATTTTTTTTCTATATATATTAGTTGGCCAATTAATTTCTTTCTATTTATAGTAGAGATGGGGTCTCGCTCTTGCTTAGGCTAGTTTCGAACTCCTGACCTCAAGCAATCTGCCCGCCTCGGCCTCCCAGAGTGCTAGGATTACAGGCGTGAGCCACCGCGCCTGGCTGCCATCCCTATTTCCTATTTTTTTGAGGTATAATACATGTACGATAAACTGTACACATTTCAGGTTTATAGTTGGGTTAATTTTTTGTTTCTACCCCTAACGTTGTATTGGGAAAATATTCACATCTAAGGTTGGAAAAAATGAAACGGAGAACATGCCCACTGCCCGGACCCCCAGTGGTAACATTTTGCTGTGGCTGCTTTATTACATATTTATCCATCTAACAGCCCCCAAACCCGTCTCGTTTCTAATGCATTGTAAAGTAAG